CGGGGGGGCCCAGGCCCCCCCAAGAAAAACCCCTCAAAAAAAAAAAAAAAAAAGAAAGAAAAAAAGTTATTTCTGCCATGAGTGAGAGAGAGAAACAGTGCCCTCACCATGACCCTCATGCTATGGCCCGCCCCAGCCTCAACCAACTCCAGATCATGGATACATGCATGTTCTGCCCACTGATTAGATTTTGTGTTTTTTTTGAGAAAGATTTTTGTTACAGTGCATGTTTCGAAGCACTTTCTGAAGAGACAGACAGAGAAACAGCAAGAAATCCCACCCCTGGTGGGGATGGCCATACAATAATCCCTCCTCTTCCATCCTCCTCTCAGGATTTTGGGCATTCATGCACACGTACCTGGTGTGATTTTTGAGCCTCCAGGTCCAGGACTTGAACCTGGCTGATTATGTGGAAGTCTGACGACATAACCATTTACCCCATCTTCAGGTCCCCCACTGATTAGATTTTAATGTGAAGTAAAAATATTTCTGCAACCCTTGCTTCATTAACCAAGTGATAAATGACTAAATTGAGGTTTTTTTGGTTTTTGGTTTGTTTGTTTGTTTGTTTGTTTGTTAAAGAAACTATCTATATCAGGCGCCAACAGGTGGCATTAGTGGTTAAACACTGGACTTCCACATGGCCGACCGTGGCTCAAGTCCTGGACCCAGAGGCTCAAAGGCTTGAAACTCTCAACAGTTATGTATGTATGCATGCATACCCAAAATCCCAAGAGGAGAATGGAGGAGAAGGGATTGCAGCATGGTCATTTCCCCAGAGGTAATTTCTCACTTTCTCTCTGTCTGTCTCTCCAGCGAGTGCCCTATAGCAAACATCTCTCTTTAAAAAAAAAAAAAGAAAGAAAGAAACAGGACTGGCAGGTGATGTGGTAGTTAAAATGCTGGACTCCCACATGGCTGACTGCGGTTTGAGTCCCAGACCTGGCAGCTTGCTTTCTCACTTTCCCTCTCTCTCTCTGTTTCTCTCTGGTCAAATTAAAAAAAAAAAAAAATTAAATAATTCTTTAAAAGACCTGGTGATTTCAAACTCATGCCAAGTGTGTGTGATGTGTGCCCAAAATCCAGAGAGGAGACTGGAGGAGAAGAGACTGTGACATAGCCATCTCCCTGAGGGATGATTTCTCACTTCTCTCTCTCTCCCTCTGTCTTTCCAATAATCACATGTACCAATAGGAAAAATCTCTCTAATAAAAAGAATGTATCTATATCTTCCCAATTCTCATCTATGACTGCCACCTAATCTTACATGTTTGTATTTCTTTTCTTTCTTTTTCTTTCTTTCAGTTTTTTGTTTGTTTGTTTGTTTGTTTTTTGAGAGATTTTTGCTATAGAGCGCATGTGCTTGTCAGAAAGACAGGGCGAGACAGAGAGACAGAAAACAAGAAATCACCCCCCAGGAGGGATGGCCACGCCGCAATCCCTTCTCCTCCATTCTGCTCCTCTCGGGATCTTGGGCACACACGCATACACGCCCAGTGTGAGTTTAAGCCACTGGGTCTGGGACTCGAAACATGGTCAACT